AACTTGTGTTCATTTATTTTCACACTGTATTCATACATACACACATCTTGTAAATATAGAAAAATTTAAATATCATATATATATATATATATATATATATATATATATATATATATATATATATATATATATATATATATATTATATAGATAGACATGCACATTTTTTAATGTAACACAATAAAACACAGATACTATAGGGATTCTAAACAGAAGTACCAGGAAGTAACACTGATCCCAGGCAATCCCTCTGTAACCTCTTGTGTGCTAGTGGCACTCACGCCTTGCTTGGGGTGAATTGCTTTAAATAAAAATGTGTATGAGAGAAGAGAGAGAGAGTTTTCTTTGTCACTCTCTTAGTGAAAAGGAAAGTGTATATTTTCCTGTGCTGTTACTACTACCTAAACCTACTACAACTTCTGAAGGGAACACTTCAGAAGTTACAATCTTTATAATTCTTGAGCAAAATTTTGATTTTTGTTTATTTTTCCATCATTTTTAGCAATGATTTTTTTCTCTTTTTAAAATAAAAAAATCTGATCTTCTTGCCTGATGATTAAATGCTTGAATCTTAAATCATTTAATGTTTCCTCTCATTAAGGACAGTCTCTGTTTTATGATCATGTTGCAGGTTGAATATTGGCTGGCAATTAAATGGCATAAGACAACAACAAACAAAATAAAGATTTGAGTAAAATATATATATTGCCAAGTTTATTTTCATTAAAGAAACTATATGAACAAAAATAAGATTACAGTGCACAAAGCAAAGAATATTTCTGCATGTTCATGTAGTAGGTGAGAAAAGAGAAGGACAGTTTTGGTGGTCATTGAAAAGTGTTATCCTTAAAAGGACAATTTATTCTACATTACTGCTGAGGATGGCTGGAGATGGAGGCATGTTCGAGATGTCTGGCCAGAGTGGTGGCCGATGGCAAGCTGGAGCTACAGCTGTTTATGCCTGGAGACACAGCTGTTGAAGCCTGGATCTATAGCCGTTGATGGCTAGAACTACAGCTGTTGATGCCTGCAGCTACAGGTTTTGATGCCTGGAGCTACAGCTGTTGAAGCCTGGATCTACAGCATTTGATGGCCAGAGTTACAGCTGTTGATGCCTGGATCTACAGTTGTTGATGCCTGCAGCTACAGCTGTTGAAGCCTGGAGCCACAGCTGTTGAAGCCTGGATCTACAGCTTTTGATGGCCAGTTACAGCTGTTGATGCCTGGATCTACAGCTGTTGATGGCTAGAACTACAGCTGTTGATGCCTGTAGCTTCAGGTGTTGATGCCTGGAGTTACAGCTGTTGGTGGCTGGAGCTGTGGGCCAGCTGTCTGCTGCTGGAACAAATACTACACTTTGATACTAGTCATCTGGTCCATGGATTGGTTTTATTTACCCTGGTCTTCCCACTGAGACAAGAAGGTCGTCATTAATGTAGGGAAACCAAGCATGTACACTTGAGATATTTTTATATACTTTTTATATGTTGGGTCAGTTTTATAAGGATTACTGATTGAGCCTTTTCTTCCGGTTATTTTAAAAAAAAAAGTAGAAGTGCTGACAGGATATGACAATCATACCATTTGTATATTTGAACAGTTTTCTGCAAATCACTGCTCCTACCCATTCCACAGATTTCTCAAATCTTTTATACTTAGTTGATATTTTTACCTTTCTTAAAATAAAAAGTGCAATTAACTGAAAATGTTGCTTATTTTCTTCTGTATTTAATGTTGGTTCAGTTTATTTTATGGTCTGTCACCTTTTCCAGGTTATTTAAATTCCGTGGTTTTGATAAACAATAGATAGAATAAATGGGTGACTCCTTTTTAAAAATTTGGGATGGTTACATCTCTGCACAAGGGATGCAGTTAGTGTATTTCTGATCCCATCTGACAGAGCAATTTTAATTTTGGAATCAATAAAGAAAAACTGCTAGTTCTAGCAAGCTTTTAATATATGTCAGCTGATATGACAGCTGTCATAATATAATCAAAAATAATCCTTTGAGAGTGGAATTACTTAAAAATAAATGCTGTTATTGCCATTTTAAAACAAAAACAACATTTTAACTAATCAAATATATCAATTTATTGTAGGTATATTTATTTTCTTGTAGGTAGTGTAACAGAAAAACGGTAATGAGAAGAAGCGTTTTAAACCCAAGAAACATGGATAAGTGCTAAAAGAAAATAATGTTTTGTCTTCATTATATCAGGTGCTTAACAATAAGGTAGAGTTAGTTTTTGAAGAGTCAATATCTGACTAGTGAAGTCTTTTTCAAGAGTTGAAAAATCAATTCTCGTTTCATTCATAAGTTAAGGATTTTATGAAAGTGTGGATAAAGAGAGAAAGATTGGTCATGTCTGCTCAGATTTGACTTTAGCCCAACGGACTTTGCATTTGATGCCAAAAAATATCATCTCCGATGCAACCTAACCTAACGAATAAATGAAACTCATCAATAACAGATAGTAAGAACTGATTACCTGAGAATTATTTATCTTTTTTCTTTGAGAATGTTTTGCTCTTCTAAGAGTGAGAGAGAGAAGAAGAGAGAGGAATAGGTGAAGAGAGACAAGAGAAAGAGAAAGGAGATAAACCAAAAAGAGAAAAAGAAAGGAAAGAGAGTGAAAAAGAGAGAAAAGAAAAGAGAGAAAAGAAAAGAGAGAGAGAGAGAGAGAGAGAGAGAGAAGCAAAATAAGGGAGAAAGAGAGAAAAGTATAAAGAGAGAAAAAGAAATAGAGAAAGATAAAAAGAATGAAAAAGAGAAAGAGATGAAGACAAAGAAAAAGAAAGGAACAAGAGAGAAGAGAGGCAGGAAAGAAATGACGAAAAGAGAAAGACAGGAAGCAAGATTTTCTAATCTTATGAAATAAACTTATTTACTTTGCTCTTAGTCTGGCACAAGGTCACAATTGTGAGGAGACCTAGTGAGGTTCAAACTTTGTACACAGACGTAATAGTTACTGCCTGTTACATTATGCTGATGTATATCAAAGAAAAGATTGGATCTCAGAGATAAGTGTGTGTGTCTGTGTGTGGGTATGTTTGTAAAGAAATGAATGCCTTGTTATTTGCAAATGCGCACACACATATAAGGGGGTGCTGCCAAGTTCTTGGCCCAAACAAGAAGGAAACCCTTACCAAAATTAAGATGCTCGGTCAGTTTGGCACATTTTCCAAAAATATTTTTGAGCACCTCATTTTTATATATATATATATATATATATATATATATATAATAGTGGACATTGAAGTCAACACTTAGAGGCGACAGGCTGTTTCATGCTAGTGGCCTGATGATTGCGTCTAAGCGTTGACTTCAATGTTCACTAATATATTTACACATGCTCTATCTCTGATATTGAGCATTTTATCTCATAAATATAGCACACCTTAAGAGTATATTACGTTATATATATATATATATATATATATATATATATATATATATATATATGTATGTATATATATGTGTGTGTATATATATATATATATATATATATATATATATATATATATATATATTTTCTGGTGAAAAGCACATTGACTTGGAAATTCTTGCAAAAATCAAATAATTGTCAGATTTTAATGAAACTTTCAGGACTTATTCAGAAATGAATGAAATTATCTTTGAAATTTTTTTAGAAAATCTGGTAAAAAATATTTTTTTTTTACATATGTTACCACCCACTTACTTAATTTCAGGAAATTTCAAGAAATTCAATTTTTAGGGCAGGGATTTTTTATTAGTTAAAAGCAAGACTCCTTGGAGAAAGTAAATCACTAATTTTTTTTTTTGTAAAACAGTTACCTGTTTCACTGAAATTCTGCTTTGAATTGTAAAATAAAAAAATGCAATAAAACTATGATTTTATTCAACTATAAAGGCTTTTAATTGTTTTGATAAATAAGATTTATTAAGGGCATTATTGTTTCAAGAAGAATTGGAAGTGAAGCTACATTTTTATTTTATTTTAAACTCTATGTATTTTATCTATCAGCCTGTGTATTCAAATATTTATATCTATCTATATTTATATCTATTTATATTTATCAATTTTTATATTTATCTATCTTTATATCTATTTATATATTTATATCTATCTCTATCTATAAAAGGCAGGATGTATGTGTGTGTGTGTGTAATGAATGCATGGCTGCAATTTTAGACAGATTTGCACCAAAATTTACATGCACATGCTCCAAGTTAGCAGGAAGGCCAAGACCAACTTTGCATTTTCCAACTCCCATCGATAGTGGAAATAATCGATTTTTCATGCTTCTATGGCAGTTTTCATGTAGTTTGCGGACATTTTCTACTGGCCAGAGTGAGAGCCTATAGCTGGCTGCCATGAATAGGCAGGAAGATTCTATTGGCCAGCGTGAGAGCCAACAGATGACTGACACAAATGTTAACTAGCATGCTAGCATGCAAAAAAAATCGATAGCTGCATTCGTCACAAGGTAGAAAAATTTAAATCTGCATGGTAGTTTACTCCAATTGGCTCATTCGCTTGCTTAAACTCAACGTTGATTCTGATACCGCAGAACTGGGTTGGGTGTGAAAAAGTATTAGTTGTTAACATTCTTTTTCCATTCGGTTTTTCCATTTATGAGTCCTTTTTTAAAGCTGATAATTTTGTCTTCATTTTGTTTAGTTCTTTTTTTGTAACAGATTTAATGTTTAGTATAGAGCTTAGAAAAAATTTGCAGTGTGAGATAGGCAACATCAGCACGGCAAAGGGCACTCCTTTAAAGACAAGGAAGGGCAAAAATATTTTAAGTCAAGTGATAGCGATTGCTGTATGAGTCGTACGATTTTTGAATCAAGCACGGGCAACGCCGGGTCATGCTGTTAGTCTATATTTATATCTATCTTTATTTATATCTATCTATATTTATATCTATCTATTAAACTCTATGTATTTTATCTATCAGCCTGTGTACTCAAGAAATATCTAAAAAAGTTTTAATAATGTTTGAAGCAATATCTGTACACATGTGTGCAAGTATGTATGACAATGCGTTTATTCATTTTATATCCTTTCTATGTGGTGCATACAGCAATGTAATATTCTGTTTTTTGGTTGCTATTTCTTGCAGCAATTACTGCCATGACAGTAAAGGCGGACATTTTCAGTAAAACGTAAGGCAGAAAGGTCAAACGTCATCGGTGGGAGGGGAGATGATTAAATAATTAACACTTTGCAAGTAATCTGTTGTCAATGATGAATAAGCTGACCTTGGCCCATTACATTCCCCTACTCTTTTATTTTCTCTCTCTGTCTCACTCTCTCTCTTGCAGTTACCTAAAAATTAGTGAAGGAATTTCTCTGAGATTCCCAAGAAAAAGAGAGAGAGAGAGAGAGAGAGAGAGAGAGAGAGAGAGGGAAGTGGGGGGAATTATAAAACAAATTTTTCGAACAGATAGGGAGACTGAGAAATGCTCACAAAGAATGTACCCATTTCTGTCTGTCAGAGGTTAGGTTTATAAATCAGCTGGTACAGGGACAAATAAATTGTTGCCATCAACAGATGTGCAGGTGGTGCAATGGATAGTGGTTTAGAATGAGAAACTGGAGAGCCAAGTTCAAATTCCAGTCAGGTTGGTTACATTCACTGTTGCACAAATATCCTTGTGAAAGATATGATTCCATTTCCTCCCCCATGTATGGATTAAATAGTAGGACTTGCATTTAGAAAAATCATTGTTATTCTCAAAAGATTTGTTAATGCAACATTCACTCACAAGAAAGATAGAATTATTCTTACAATCCAAAATATCTTTCAGCTTTAAATAACACATAAAATGTTGATAAACCGTAAAAAACAAATCAATTAATCTAAAACTGTCAACAGTGTTATAAGCAATATATGAACAAGACTAAGAATCGGGATGTACATTAATATCAATCATGAAAAGACAGGACAAACAAATATCCAAAAGAAATCTGTCAGCAGAACTTCTAAGAGCCTTTCTGGTTGTAAAAGTCATTGCAATGCCTAGTGATAATCTGTTTTATGCTTGAATGCAATCTTCAGGCCATAAAGAATGTGTTCAAGCTTCAAACAGACTGTTACTGGTCACTGTTAAGAGTGTCCACTTTTATATATATATATATATATATATATATATATATATATATATATATATATATATATATAATTATTTATTCGAAAATTATAACATAAATATGTTATAAAATCACTACAAAAATAGCCATTTTGTTTTCAACACTTCTGGTGTCTTATCAAGTGATGGTGTTGAATGTAGAATAAAGGGTTTTCTCTTTATCAAACCCTTTATTATACATTCAACACCATGACTTGATAAGACACCAGATGTGTTGACAAAATGGCTATTTTTGTATTGATTTTATAACATATTTATGTTATAATTTTTTAATAAATAATTATAATTGTTCAATTGGCCAATCCTATACATGCGTATATATATATATATATATATATATATATATATATATATAAAAGACTCATTTCATCCCCTGAGGAACTTTAAAGGAAGCAAATTTTTATGAAAAATTTGTAAAAATATTAATTTATAAATACTTACATTTATATAAAAATTGTTGCAAAATAAAATTCTTACATTTGTTTTGATAAAGTCCATCAGAGATAAAACACATTGTTTTCCTTTTGTCAATATTCACATTGTCTTTTTTTATATATATATATATATATATTATAAATTAACTAATTGAAAAATTTGGTTTCTTCGCTACACAGGAATTACCATGTTTCAAACCTCAAAATTTCAAATTTAATTATATAATTAAATTAAAAGCATTAGTTCTGTTTCATCTTCAAGCGAATTTTGCAATAACTTATTTTTAAATTTACTGAGTTTTAAACGTACATACATTCATAATTTTTTTGTTTACAAGAATACAGAGAAATCCAATCATTTAGATAAGGGAAGTAGCATGTTCATTTTTATTAACTATTATTATATCAATTATGACTTACGCTCGAAAAAGAGGTTAAGTCTATGTAGGTAGGGGTGCATTTTTCAATGAATTATGGCATCCGTTCAACGCATGTCGTCTGTTTTTTTATCAACGACAAAAAATTTTTTGGCATTTTTTTCCGTTAAATTTCGTACTTGTATACATATAGATTCTTTCTAAAAGGGGTGTTAGGGTTAGAATACGTTATATTGAACTACAATTTTAAAATATTATTTTTACTTTTAATTACTAATAGACTATATTTCTTTTTTAAAACAAATAAATGTAATAGAATTACTTAAATTATTTAAAAATTATTATTACATAAGTAAAAATATAAGTATGTATATTACCAGCTCCCATTTTTTTTATTTTTTAATTATTTTATTTTATTTTGAAATATTATTTAAGGAAAATCTTTGACAATATATATATATATATACATACATATATAAATGTAGCCATCTCTTCTACTCCAATAGCTTCATGTCGCGCACCTCTCACCTGTGGAACTCCCTTCCCTATTCCTGTTTCCCTGTGAGCTATAATCTCCAGCTATTCAAGTGTAATGTCAATCGACATCTCCAGTTGCCTTGATCTATCCACTACCCTCATCCTTTCTTCTATCACTCCTATCTGATCTTGCTCTAAATTTTCTGTAACCCCTTGCATCCTAGTGGCTTCCCAGCCTTGCTTGGGGTGAAATGCTTAAAAAAAAAAAAAGAAAAGAAAATATATATATATATATATATATATATATATATATGCCCTAAATGTCACTTGAGTTATGAGAGTTAACATCCAATGTTGATTTCTACGTCCACACTATATATGATAAAAGTGCTCAAAATGGAATAATACGTATGTAAATACAAAAGTTGACACTGCAGTCAACATCTAGTGGTGACAGTTTGTTTCATGCTAAATGCAATCAGGACTGATGTTTGTGTTTAGCATGAAACAGATTGTCGAACAGATTGTCAGCTCTAGTTTTTGATTTCAATGTCCACTTTTATATATATATATATATATATATACATATATATATATATATATATATACATATATATATATATGTATATATAATTTTGAATAAATATTATGATATATGCATGTTATAACATCACTAGAAAAATTGCAATTTTGTGTCAACACTACTAGTGTCTTATCAAGTGACAGTGCTGATTGCAAAATAAAGGGTTTTAAGAGTCCACCCCCCCTCAGAAGGGGAAACATTGTTACGTAACCTATGATGACTAATGAGAATACAATTATATGGTACTTACAAAATAACATGACAATATACCCTAAGTACAATCTTTTAGTTAATTAAAATTCAGATTAGATACATACATATACAAATATATAGACCAACACAAAGACACACATGTGCAAATATAAGTATGTATATATGTTTGTATGTATGGTTGTTTCTACATTTGTTTATACATGTGTGTATATAGCTGGGTACATATATTTGCACATGTGTGCCTGTGTGTTGGTTTGTATATGTTTATATATATGTATGTATGTGTCTGTATATGTGTATATATGTGTGCATGTGTGTGTTCATGTGTATGTGTGTATATATATATGCATATATTTCTGCAAATGTATGTGTTTTTTACATTTGTTCATTATTCATTATACCAGCTGCACATCCAAGCTCAGTATATATATATATATATATATATATATATATATATATATATATATATATATATATATATATGTATACACTTTTGAATAAATATTATAACATATGCATGTTATAACATCACCAAAAAAATTTCAATTTTGTTTCAACATTTCCGGTGTCTTATCAAGTGATGGTGATGCAAAATAAAGAGTTCAAACCCCCACCCCCAGTAGGGGAAACATTGTTACGTAACCTATGATGACCAATGAGAATACAATTATATGGTACTTACAAAATAACGTGACAATAGACCCTAAGTACAATCTATTAGTGCATTAAAGTTAAGATTAGATTAAATTAGAAATCAATATAACAAATAGATTAAAGGTTCAATTTCACAGTTAAATTTAAAAATAAAATTATAAATTTTGCAATCAACACCTTGATACGACACTAGTAGTGTTGAAAAAAAATTGCAATTTTTGTAGTGATTTTATAATATGCATATTTCATAATTTTGAATAAATATTATTTGCTCTACTCGGTACTGAGCACTGTTTTAAGAATAGTGTTTTTGTGTTATCAGAATTGTTTTCCATGTGTACCAAACCTGTATTTTTTGTATTTTTTTATATATATATATATATATATATATATATATATATATATATATATATTATAGTTTATGAAAAAACTAGTTAATCTGTATGGGTAGACCCAAGGAGGATAAAATCCAGAGAGCTTAATGTAAATCCAGAGCAAATAATTTAAATAAAAACAGACCACTTTAAGGTTCCATGTAATAAATTATTTCACCACAGACCTTTTAAAAGGACTGCAGATCATCAGACTTTACTTCCAAAGGTTGAAATGAAAAATGAAAAGAAATTTACACATTTTTGACAGGCCGTATTAAGTATATGTAAATTAACGAAGTGAGGAAGTGAGGGGGGAGAGAGAAGACATGAGTGAGTTAGATGTAATTTAATATTTCTATTCTTTCATACTTAAAATTACTTGGGGAGGTCCAGAGCACACCTTAAAACTATATTTCTTCATATATATATATATATATATATATATATATGTATGAAGAAATATAATTTTAAGGTGTGCTATATTTATGGGATAAAGTGCTCAATATCAGAGATAGAGCATATGTAAATATAAATGTAAAAGTGAACATTGAAGTCAACACTCAGAGGTGACAGGCTGTTTCATGCTAGATGCAATTGTCAGGCCATGAAACAGCCTGTCGTCTTTATGTTGACTTCAATGTTCACATTTATATGTATATATATATATATATATATATATATATATAACAGTGAACATTGAAGTCAACACTTAGAGGCAACAGGCTGTTTCATGGCCTGACGATATATTTTTATATATATATATATATATATATATATATATATATATATATATATATATGTATATATATATGTATGTATGTATATATATATATATGTATATATGTATATATATATATATGTATATATATATATATATATATATATATATATATATATATATATATATATATATATATATATATATATATATATATATATATATATATATATATATATATATATATGTGTGTGTGTATATATATATATATATGAGTTATAGAAGAGGAGACAGAAAACTAAATTAGAGAAAGGCAGAGAAAGAGATAGAAACACAAGCAGAGGAAGGGAGAAAGTTCATTAAAGGGAGTGTGAGAGAGGAAGTGAAAGAATGAGAAGCAGAAATTTACAAAAATTTACCTGCCTATATATACGTCTATATGTTAAGCAATGTCTGTATACTTATTTACTCATATAGTGCGTATACTTTGGATGCTGTCCCGGTAACATATTGATTCTCCCAATACAAACATTATAACTCACCACACATCCAGTAATGATTTTACGGAATTGGAAAAGTTCCGATTAAACTATAATAAATAAAACCCAGGATTAAACTTGAACAAAGTTAGAATCTTGATATTATAATCAGAATTCAGCAAAGAGCAATTTTATATCCAGAGGCAGGGAATTTCAAGAATGTGATTGTGGCATTCATAAAGGTCAAATGAAGAAGAAGTATTGGCAGAAGAAGAGGAAAGACGAAAGCTATCTATTCTTGCAGATAAAGAGTTTTAAGTCAATCAACCATTTTTAACATTGTAAAGAATTTCATTTCTTTTTTTTTTGTTTTTAAGATTTGCTATTAATCTTTTGTTTCTAGATTACAAAGACATGCAATGAAATATTCACAAGTACTGTTGATAAAATATTATGAGGTTGGAAGATGAAATATTATAGGGCATTTAGGGAGACACAGAATATTATAAGATAGATAGCAAGATGGACAGAAAATTATAAGGCATATGGTGAGACACCGAATATTATAAGGGAAACAAAATATATTATAAGGCATATAATTTATAGGGAGATAGTATTTATAGAAATAACATATAACAAGGTACATGACAAGACATAATATTATAAGGCATTTAGAGAGAAGGACAGAATATTATATGGCATTTAGAGAGAAGGACATAATATTATATCTAGAGAGAAGGAGAGAATATTACATGGCATTTAGAGAGAAGGACATAATATTACATGGCATTTAGAGAGAAGGATAGAATATTATATTTAGAGAGAAGGAAAGAATATTACATGGCATTTAGAGAGAAGAACAGAATATTATAAGGCATTTAGAGTGAAGAACAGAATATTATAAGGCATATAGGGAAACACAGAATATTATAAGGCAGAATATTACAAGATATATAGGGAGGCAGAGAGAATATTATAAGGAATATAGGGAAAAGGTCAACAAATCATAAGGCATATAGCGAGAGAAAGAATATTATGAAGCATATGGCAAGATGGACAGAATATTATGAGGCAAATTAGACCAAATAGTATAATGCATAAACAGCATATTATAACTATTATCCTTTTATAAGAATTTTAGTACTGAGTTGATTTTAGCATCCCAAACAAGGATTTAATGTCCAAGATGATAGTTTGCCTCATGTTGGCTTTAACAATAGAAATCAAATTTTCAGATGGCTTGACCAAGAAGAGATCCTCCACCATAAAAATATTTGGTTATTTGGTTTGAGAAGTGACTTAGGCTGAGAACTTTTCAACATCTCGTCATACAATTCAAGTGATTTTCAACGAGTGTGCTGCAAAGGATTGACATGTGCCATGCATGAATTTGGAGTCTATAACAAATCTGCATATAAATTCTAAAATTAATCTTTTGAAAGCCACAATATTAATTGTTCTGTACAAAAGTTATTATTTCATAGTGAAATGGAGAGAAATGTATTGATTGAAAGATTTTCTATGTTGGGTGGGCTATTTGACTTGAAAATCAGTATTTGAAATATTCTATCTAGAATTGAACACTGACCTCTGTTTCCATTGAGAAAACTTCCCAATTGAAAACCACTGATGAGACACTGTTAAGTTCTGACATCTTTACCAAACTAGAAATGGAATAAATTCATTACTTAACAGTTTCATAATATACACTTCTTAACACCCTTGTGCAAATTAATTGAAACAAAACAAATAATTCCATTACTGTTGGGGCGCACCCACCTTCTAACTAGTAATGGACTGGTCCCTCTTATATAAGTCAGCTCTGGAGAGAGAGTGACAGAGCATCAGAGAGAGAGTTACCGGGTACATACCGTTGGACTATAGACTTTGGATAATGTTTCGTACTAACCAACCTTCGTTCTACTAATCACTCTATTGTTAATTGCTTTTATGAATATACCAGTATTTTCTTCTACAACTGTGTTTGTCTTGATTCATACACCGACACGCGGGAAACTCACAACATCTCAACAATTACTATTTACTTTTTTTGTATTTTTTTCAATGAAACATGACCCAGTGCACATTTTAGTACTTTGTATCTCCATTCTATGAAGTCATTCCTTGCAGATTGGTCACAGATTTTCAATTGGATTTAAATCAGGAGAGTTTCCGGCCAATCTATAGTACTTTGATTTGCTCACTGGTAAGGCTTGCTAGTGTGTTCATGTAGCATTGCAATTTTCGTACATTTTCTTGGAGTAACGTCCATTGCAGACAATGGCTGTAGGACAACTAATCAACAGTTGAGACAGTAGTGTCTGGGTGTGATAAAAATCTGATGTGATCACAGATGATGCAATATTTTTCAAGGCCAAACAAATTTCATTATACACCCTGAAAATGGATTCATATTATTGCACACCACTGTAAATGAGTGAGGAAAAAATAGAAATCGATCACACCCTGTCACTCCAGTGGGTCTAAAATTGATCATATGGTGAAAGAAAGGAAACTAAATTTGCACAAGGGTGTACTTACTCCATTTCTGCCTTTACAAGAATTTCATTCAATAACCATCTGCCTTGAGTGGCTCTTGGGCTTTTGATTCTGTGAAAAATAGTATTAAACAACACTATAATCTCCTCATGATACATTATAGTCCAAGTGGATATGAAAAAACATTTTCCCTCTTTTTGTTTTCTCTTTCTCCCCCCACCACAACAAACATAAGAAAACATGACAACGAAGAAAATCTATGGCAGAGGGCTTGAGTAATGATTTACACAGAATAACAGTAAACATGATACTCATTGGTATCAACTTCAGTTTATTACAAAATGATATTTGGATCATATTTTAAAAAAATCATGACCCATGAACTCTACAGAAAAATGAGCCCAAAAGTTGCTACCATTGTCAAAAGTAACAATTTGATTTCTTTCATTAGCAAGCAAGACTCTGGCAACAAATTGATTTTTCTGAGGCAATCAGAAGACAAAGCATTTATCATCCCAAGAGTTGATCAACCTATTGAACTTATTCTTTATACTACTTTTGTCCATACAAATAATGTTTAGACAGATCCATTTTACATTCTTTGGATGTACAATTTGTATGTAAAGAGAAACTGAGAAGAAATCTGAATAAATTTAAGATGAAGAGTGCAAAAAAAAAACAAAAAACTTCAAAGTGTGGTATTCTTCAATTAAGAGAATCCTGACGTGAATCCAAACTCTTGAAGAATTTGTTAAAGTTTTGAACATGTTTATTTCACAAACTGTTGTTAGCAAGTTTATACCTCCCTGATTAGTCCACAAAGGTGGCTTACTGTTGATGTTGGCTTTGTTCCATTGATTGTTAAACCATTTTCCGGCTTCAGGAAGCCTAAAAGAAGATTCCAGATGCAATTAATTCCAAGTTAAATGTTACTCAGTTTTGATGAGAAGAATACAGTGAAGATGGCCAATGTTTTTCTAGCAAAAATAAAACAAAACTCATCAACTATTGCTTGATTTTTTAAATGCCAGTTTATTTACAATAATCTCATAAGGAAGAATGCATCTGGATAGTGTAGTGCTTAATGTGGTAGTCTGAGTAGTGAGGTCAATCCTCATTGGGTGCACCATACTTGGAGCCTTAAATAACAACTAACTCATGACTAATGTACATGTTGGAATCTGTAGAAAATGGCATATGTAATGTTGCTTAACTTCTGATCAAATCATCAAATGCCATAAGTAAAAACTCATGTGCAGATAAATATGTCATATATAAACAAATTGATAATCTTTTTTCTCTCATCTTTCTGTCATTCTATCTTTCTTTCATACTTTCTTTCTTTCATCCTTTTTTTCTTTCTATATCTTCCTATATTCTTTTCATTTTTGCTTCTTTCTTTCTTTCACTTTCTATATTCTTTTAATTTTGGCTTCTTTTTTCTTTGTCATCCTTTATTATTTTCAATTTTTACCTTTTTCTTTCTTTCTAATTTTCTTTCTTTTTATATCTTTGTATATTCTCATCTTTGTTTTGTTCTTTCCTTCTTTCTTTCTTTCTTTCTTTATTTTCCTATATTTTTTCCATTTTTCCTTCTTTCTTTTTTTGTTTCATTTTTTGCTTCATTCTATCTTTATTTCTTCAATTTTCATCCTATTTTCTTACTTTCACTTTCATTTTCATCCTATTTTCTTACTTTCACTTTCACTCTTACACACCTTTTTCTCTTCTCTTTCTCATTATTTTTTCTCCTCTTCTGTTTCTCCTTACTCTTGCTCATCATGTTATCCCATCCTTCACTCTCTTTTTCTCCCTCTTCAATTTTATATCCCACTATTACTTTTCAATCGACACTTCATCATTGTTTTTTTTCCTTTTTTTATTTTTCTCATCCTTTTTCATTTATCAATCCATTACCAATTTTTCGTTCTTTCAGCCTCCTCCTTCTCCTCTCCCTTTTTCCTTCCTTTATTCTCATCCTCATGTTTATCATTTTCTTCATCTTTGCTCTTTCCTCTTCTAATCATTTTCCCTCTTTCCTTCTCTCTATCCATCAGCCTCACCTTTCTATTCATACTCCTCATCTTCATCCCTTCTTCTTTTTCTTTCTCTCCTCTTTCACCTCTTCATCTTTTCCCCACTTCCTTCCCTCCTCAGCCGACCATACAATCTCTATTCTGTCTTGCCATTTGATAATAATGGAATTTGTTGCTATGACAACATCTTGTCAAATGCATGCATCTCAGTTGATTTCAGCAAAATGCCTAATTGGGTCAGTCTCCAGAATTCATTTCTATTTTCTCTTTCTCGTGTCACATTAGACCTGTTCTTTGTTTTGCCATTCTTACTTGGCAGATATTGGCATCAAAATATGACATTCATTTTTTGATCTTTAAATCATTGATGCTGCTTCACTAGCCAGAACCCTTTACTCATTTACAAGCATCTTTCTAAGATGATCAAAGTGAACTTGTAACATATGTGTATACATCACAAACATCTTAGCTGAATATTAGAAAATTATTGAAAATATTTTTTCACTAATCAACATCAAATATTCATTAAAATGAAATCAAGGTGTAATCTAAGTCTCAGCTAAGTAAATTGTTTTATTGTAAAGAATTTATCCTCAGTAAAGCATAAAGATTACTTATTCAATAAGTAAATGACTGTAGAACACTCCTTCTGGGAAGCATTGTATGCTTTGGAGTCCATTTTAGCCTGTCAACATATTTCAGGTCTATTAATTAAAGATGGAAAAATTGGTATTTTGTAACCATTATAGAAAACGTTGTGCTTTCATTACTTTCATTGTATTAAATAGAGATATTACTTGATATTTGTTGTTTCAATTGAGAAAAATTAAAAAGAAAAACATTGGTGAAGAAGTTTGAGTTAGAAGCAGAAAAATTAACTACTTTCCTTGATTTTGGTTCTGATAACAAAAGCTTAACTTAATTACACAAGAAAAATTATGTAAAATTCCAATTAAGCAAACAAGGTTGGGTTTACTTAAAAATAGAGAATTTCTTTTAGAGAGGCTGCCTGATAATATAACAAGAGATATGAAATCAGATGCATTCATTGATACATAAACATTTAGCATAAATCCAGTGTACAACTTCCAGTTACTGTCAGATTATGTTCAACAATACAACTATACTCTGCCAATCCAACTACATAAAAAAACAAAACAATTGAAAATTTTGGAGGCTCTTCACATCAAAAGAAGGCAAACCAACAATAAAATTTCTTTTACTCATATTGTGCATGTGTTAAAATGGCTTTGAATTTTAGTCACATGACACACAAATCTATTCTTCTACCACAGCATACAGACTTATTTTCATTTCAAACTCTGGACTTTTAACAATGTAAATGCTATACTGGCTATCATTTGATCTTGAAAATGGCTAATGTTGGTTGAAAGAACTCAGAACATTACACACAATTTTGGCAAGTTCCTTTACAAGTTTCTACTCGACGTCAAGAGAAACTCACCAAAAGCCACAACAGGCATTCACTGTTCTCTTTAATAAAAACCTGTATCAGGAAAGGATTACTGATGAAAAATCCTAAGTTTAATCCTTTAATCCAGCATACATTGCCCCTGGCCCCTCAGATTTGAACTGTCCAGCTCTCAAATTATTTTGATTACCCTGGCCTGTGACTGACTTAGGATAACTACTGCTAATAAAATACTTTAATATGTAATTGAAGATTTGCCACAAACTGGCTTCATTGTTAGGCTGAATTTTGCCAAGGTTGACAAAGAGTGTAGTAACATTTTACAGTCATTTCCTCCTGGTAAAGAGAGAGCAGATTCTTTCAGTTATTGAGATATTTTTGTAAAGATACCTGTTGACAGAACAGAGTGCAGGGAGAATTCTGTTTCTAAGGTTATTTATTAACAAACATAATTAGCCAAAAGATTACTGAACTGTTACATGATATCTGTCCTTCAGTATGGCAGCGAATGCTGGACAATCTTCTCAAAGATGAAGAAGTTACTTGAAGCAAAAGAAATGTGATTCTACAGAAAGATGCCGAGGATACCATGAACTGAAGATGTGAGCAACAACAAGGTTTTGGAGAAAATGGAAACAAAAAGGAAACTTATACTTAACACCAGAAAGAGAAAGTTATAATTTCTGGGGCATGTAATGAGGAAGGAGAGCTTGGAGAACTTGACACTCACAGGACAGATTGAGGAAAAGAGGGACAGAGCAAAGCAGTACATAACATACTTGATGGACTTGAGTAAATGGATAGTAGAACAGGGTTTGTGAGAAATAACAAAAGGACAAAACTTATTAAAAGATACAAGGGACAGGAAGATGTGGAGAGCCATGATTGCCTACATCCTGAAGGGACATGGCTCATAAAAGAAACAATCAACCAAAGATGGATATTGAACTCTGCTTGCCATTTCCATTTTCTGTTATTATGCTATCTGGCATCTGTCTATATTTCTGAGATGAGGTATTATGTACACTATTTACATTATTCGGACTATTGTCTTCATCTTTGTCACCATATTTATTGCAGCATTTCGGCCATTCAGTATCTGTGTATATTTCTGAGATGAGGTATTATGTACACTATTTACATTATTTGGACCATTGTTCTCATCTTTGTTGCCATATTTATCACAACGTTTCGGCCCTTCAGTATTTGTCTATATTTCTGAGATGAGGTATTATGTACACTATTTACATTATTTGGACTATTGTCCTCATTTTTGTCGCCATATTTATTACAACGTTTCGGCTGTTGTACGCTCAGTTTGACATTCCAACCACCTGAAGAAGTCAGGAGCGTACAACGGCCAAAAATTGTAATAAATAAGGCGACAAAGATAAGGACAATAGTACGAATAATGTAGACCAGACCTTGACCTATTTAGACCAATATTAAGTATGATTGAGATAGATATGAAATTAATCCCTCCCTAAACTCTACCATGCCTCTGACTTTGATGGTAGTGCCAAAATGAATCCTTGTGGCTTAAAAATCTTTAACTAAAGTCTGAATACAGCTATATAGAAAAAGGACCCTGGAAATCCTATTTCCAATTTGCTATTATCATATCTTCTCTTGTTGTCAATCATCCACTTAAAAATACAGAGATGATAAAAATGTCTGTGGATCCTGGCGGAGAAAGCATGTCTTCATTTATCTTATTTTCTTCTAAGCTCTTTCCTACATGCAAGACTCCATCAGAATACAGCTTGAGGGTCTGCAGGAGTCAAAATGGTAGATGGAGATATAAATCAAACCTGCAAATAACTTGTAGTTCTTGAATTGATTGGTTTTGGTAAAGTGCTTCTTTCTTTTGCACCTTTGGAATTTTCTCAAAATGTCATTACTGCAACTTACTTTCCAGTCATTGTAAGAAGAATAGAAACATTTTTTCTTTGGGGTCAAAGGCTGATAAGAAGATGGCATTGGAAAATCATGAAAATAAATTGGAAAGGAATTTCTAAAATTACAATCCTCAGAGAAAAAAATGACTCATTGCTAAATATATTAAGTAAAACAGTTCTGAGATAAAACTGTTTCTTAATTGCTTTATTAAGTTCTGAGATAAAAACATATTTTAATCATTCAATGTATTTTGTATTCTTGTCTTTGGTTTTGGAGTCTTTAATACAAAATTTTAGCTGATGTGTTCTACAGCCTTCCTCAGGTGTATGTTGCATCTGGCAGTCTATTAGATGTCACTCTATACATTATTCATACCAGTATCTTCATCTTTGCTGTTTTTATTCGAGTGTCTATTGCATCCAGTTGTCTTTAGACATCACTCTACACATTATTCAGACTAGTATCTTCATCTTTGCTGTTTTTATCCCAATATTTCAGCTGATCTGTTCTTCAGCCTTCTTCGAGTGTCTATTGCATCCAGTGGTCTTTAGACGTCACTCTACACATTATTCAGATCAGTATCTTCATCTTTGTTGTTTTTTTTGAACATTTAAGCTGTTCTGTTCTGCAGCCTTCCTTGCATCCAATGGTTTTTAAAAGTGATTTCATCCTTTCTTTTCTTGTTTGTTCCATTTCCTTCACTGGAATATTCATGTGTAAGGACTGAGTGCTAAGCTCTGTGTTTCTGATATTAATATATGTACAAGTGATATTAGCTTTTATATGGAGGATCTGATGGTGATCGCAAAAGAGGACTTTGCAGCTGATAGTAATTCCCAAAGAGGATTTGTCAGACTATTTTGAAACCTTGAAATAATGTTATGAAAATAGTGTAAAGCCCCATTTGCAAGGGACTGAGGCACCATTACCCTAGGTAGGCTGTTTTTTTAGTTATTATACAAAGGCTAAATATTTTCCCAACAGGCCTCATAGAATATGTGTGTGTGCATGTATATTTGTGTGTGTGTGTGTGTGTGCATGTATTTGTGTGTGTATACATATGTGTTTGTATGTGTGTGTTTGATTAGCAAAACAAACACTAATTATAAGAGACTTTAATCCATACTTGAGAGAGATTTCCACACTTATTGCCCTGTAATAATATTCAGAAACATTAGCCAATTTAACACGTCTAGACTTGACTGTCATCAGCTTGATCCAAATAACAGACTTCTGAATATTGATTTTGATGAATGTATTTTGACATTCTAATGGGCCTCACCTATTGTCTTTTCAGAATCCGTTTCTACTATTCTTTTTTTTTCTTTTTTACTTGATTTATTTCCTGGGTCCTTTTGCGTAAAGAGCTTCTGCCTGTGCCTCAGTTAAAGACATTTTCTGTCATGAATAGTCAACAGAATTCATTATTGCATGGATTTTATTATGTGACATGTCTCTTTAGGATATGGGCAGATCATGGCTTTATACGACATCATATACTTTGTAGTTCATAGCAGTTTGCTTTTTAGTCTGCTATTTTACTATCTATCCTGCTCCCCCTTCTGCCATCTATTCATATATATACGCATTAAAAAAAAGTGTTTGTATATTCATAATAATCATATACACATTTATACACATCTGACCATCAATATATATATATCTGTATATTAAAGACATTTTTTTTTTTTTATGTTTAACGTTGTTATTTTATAGATACAAGTATTTAAGCAAATGCTCTGTTTATGATAAACAGTATTAAATAACATTTACCGGCCTGAATGTCGAGAAATTTTCATAGAAAATATTCGTTCTTTGACAGGATTCGAACCTGCATCCTATAATGGAACCGTCATATACGCTGACGTGCCTTTACCTCTAGGCTACAAAGAACCAATCGGTAGACAAGGTCGAATTTACTGCTTATAAACTCCAATCTTCCATGAATCTCGTACATTCATAACTGCTCTGGCGTATCGAATGTAAACAAATGACGTCATATGGTAGCCTAGAGGTAAAGGCACGTCAGCTGAAATATATGACGGTTCCAGATAGGATGCAGGTTGAATCCTGTCAAAAGAACGAATATTTTCTATGAAAATTTCTAGGACATTCAGGCTGGTAAATGTTATTTAATACTGTTTATCATAAACAGAGCATTTGCTTAAATACTTGTATCTATAAAATAACAACGTTAAAATAAAAAAAAAAAATGTCTTTAATAAATAAATTGTCGGACCTTGTCCATTTCTTAATATATATATCTGTATCTATTTATATGTATTCTCTCTCTCTCTCTCTCTCTCTCTCTCTATATATATATATATATATATATATATATATATATATATATGTGAAAAGTGAATATAAATATAAATAAATATATATATATGTATAATTATTTATATATTATATGCGGTACTTATTAGAAAGCGCTCAATATCAGAGATAGAGCTAACATATTTGGTTGGATAGATGTGAGTTTGTGACCCTGGGTTTCACGCTTTTAGCGATCAGGGTCACAAACTCACATCTATCCAACCAAAAATATATATATATATATATATATATATATATATATATATATATATATATATATATAATATGATACTGAAAAAGTATCTATCTCATCTATTCCTCTCTCTTTTCTCTCTCTCTCTCTGTCTATCTATATATTCAAGGTGATGCCAAAACTTCTGTAATTCATTCTATTCCAACACTCTCATTTGATCTATCTATCTATCTATCTATCTATATATATATATATATATATATATATATATATATTCAAGGTGATGCTGAAACTTCTGTATCTACCTCATTCTATTCCAACACTCTCAATCTATCTATCTATCTATCTATCTATCTATCTATCTATCTATCTATGTTATTGCTGAAAATTTTTCACCTAATCCATTCCCTAGAATCTGACAGATATTTTTGGTGATTAGCTGAATGGCATAATGGACAAAATCCCATGTGATATATTTTGTCCTTTCAAAAGACTAATATTTTTGCTGATCAAATCGTATAAAATTAGGGGAAGAGAATAAAATTAGTCATTAGTGTTAGTCACAGTTATCCAAAGAAATGGTGAAGATGCAGGGACATCTAACATTAAATTAAAATTTCTAATTTCTGGCATCCACTGTGCCAAGAAGCAAAACCTAAATGCCCTCATTCAGCTTTCTACCACTTTTATGTTTTTATTGCAACTGCTTTTACATATCTCTCTCAATACACAATGTATATAAAGGTAAGCAGTGTGGACATAGAGTTCAACAATGCATAACTGCAATCTTCGAGCCTAAATATATATATATATATATATATATATATATATATATATATATATATATATATATATACACATACAGACATACACACAAAGATTGCAATGGATAAATTGTCATCTAAATTATGCAAAAATGAAAATAACACTGACATAGCATTTTAGCAGATTAATATTAGACTCATCCAACTCTTTCTGAATCCTCTGCACTGTACTCAGATTGATACCCAAACTCTCTGAAATGTTTGTATTGGAGCTTCTGGTGCAAATGCCAAGCAGTACAGCATGCCATTTCCAAATTTCTGGCAGAGTGTCATGGTGCTCTTTTTCTCAAAGATGGTGCCCAACTGACCCTACTATACTATGGAGTCATCAAAATGAAAAACAAACAATGTGCATGCACAAAATTAAAAATATGAAATGGTGACAATTTACTCATCGCACACTCTGTGTGTGTATGTGTATGTGTAATAACAACGCAGAGTTGCAATAAGATTTAAGAAAGTTTCATTGAGCTTGAGTGTGGTGGCACAGCTAGACTGCTTATTTATAATATCTAAGTGAGGGAGAGTTCTTCTTTCAAGGAAAGCAATCGCCATCAATAGTGGTAACTCCTATTGGTCTATACCACAATATATATATATATATATATATATATATATATATATATTATAAAAGTGAACATTGAAGACAGCACTCAGAGGCAACAGGTTGTTTCAAGCTAGACACAATCGGCCTGACGATTGCGTCTAGCATGAAACAGCCTGTTGCCTCTGAGTGTTGACTTCAGTGTTCACTTTTATATTTATATTTACATATTCTCAGTCTTTGATATTGAGCACTTTATCCAATAAATATAGCACACCTTAAAACTATATTTCTTCATATATATATATGTATATCTTCAAACAGGAAATCCAAGCAAGAGATGCCCATTTCTTAAATAGGATAATTAGATTTTGATTGACTCTATGTTTCCTGTGGCTGGGTAATCTAAAGCATGCTGGACTTTATGGTCATTTTCCCTACAAGGGGGATGCAGGTTCAAGCCTTACTGGAAGGTACATTTTTTTTTATTAAGTCTCTTAAATGCATAGGCTGATGCATGTACATTTGCACTATTTAAAATGCAAAGATCTATTCAAACACATGCATTCATTAAATATAATGTTTAAACTAATAAGCAATCATTATAATTCTTAATTAATTTTGATGAGTATCTACTTTCATCTTAGTTGAGAGAGATCATGGAATGAAGGAGGAGTTTAAATGCTCAATTTGATCTTCTGTAGTGAAGTTGATTTCTTGTAGTATCTTATGTATTTAACCAGGCTTACGTGAGCCTTCTTCAAACATATTACCTCCAAAACTTCCCCTGATTGATTCCTTTCTAGAATGGAGAGCTTTATACCTCCAGAAAAAAATTCCAGCAAAAACTGAACAGCCCCCCTGCCCAAATGTACTGCAACCAGATCTCACCATAGCCACTACTATAATGTCTGTTATAAGGAATGGTGTAGTAGAACACTTGCATTCAGAACTGCCTGCAGTCATTGCAAGAGACTTCTAGAAAATGCTAAGTGTAGCTATGCACATGCAATCTAGGCCAAGGTTGTAAGCAGACAACTTGAATCCTATGGAGGAAAAGCATCAGTGCTTACTATCACAAATGGACGAGGTCATTTCATTCTTGTCAGATAAAGTAAAGCTCTTCACTACAATTGTTGCTTCCAACTTAATGGTAGATGACAAAGATCATTCCTTTCCTGACTCCCCCAACTCTCACAGAGTCCAAACTATTTTTAATATTTATATCACAGCCTTATCAAGACTCTATCAAAGGCCTTGACCCAAAGAAGGCTACCAGTGTAGATAAAATCTCAGTGGTTGTCCTTAAGAATTTAAACCCTGATTTAACTCTGATCTTAAAATTATTTAACTGCTGCTTGAAGGATAAATGCTTCCCAAATCTGTAAAAAGTATCAAGTGTATGCCTCGTGTTCAAGCATGGGGGTGGCTACTCATCCCCACCCCTGTATCACTTCCTCAATGCCATTAATAAACCTGTTGAATAAATAATCAACAAAATGGTTGTTGATCACCTCAGTAGGGACAACCCCTTGAGCGACAAGAAGTATTGATTTTGATCAGCTCAATCCACTGCTGATATCCTAACTACCATTACTCACAGAATCAGTTAGGCACTATACAATAAATACGGTTATATTAGATATTTTTTGAAGGCTTTTGACAAATTCTGGCATAGAGGGTTGTTGCACAGGGGCTCCATCTATGAAGTCATTGAAAGAGAGTTTTCTCAATTATAAATTCCTTCCTAACAGGTAGGTTCTTCAATGGAGTTGTTAACGAACAGTTCTCTGAGGCCTAACTGATCAGTGCATGCATCCCCAAAGGCCCACTTCTTGGTTTCAATGCTCTGCTTTACATTAATGATCTGCCTAAGAGTATACATCTGTCTTTTGTTGAAGTTGATGCTAATGATATGGCTACAATTTTAACCTGTTTGAGTCTAAGGTTAACTGTTATCTTCCCCATATAGCCTCATAAACTGTACATCTTATCCTGTAATACTCTAGTTCGAGTGGCTCTTAGGCCTTTCACAGAGTGAACATAATTGTAAAAAAAATTGTAAGTTCAAATCTCATCTCACTTCTCTAGAATTGACAGTTTGAATAAAGCTGTGATTAACAACGAAAAAATTTAGATGTATATGCAAGTCAAAATAAGTAATAATAATAATGATGTTTGACTATACTAACTGAACATTATAGAGTAAAAATTATATTTCAAAACAAAATGCAGTGATGTAATGGAATAACCTGTCAGCCCCATGAGTGACTACACTATAGGTAGTAACTACCAATAAGTATCTGTAAGTCAATGGACTACAGCGCCTAGCTGGGATCTGTTCCAGCTAGACAGTCAAACTCTCTGCTTCTGAGCAGAGAGGAACCCGGACAAGGTTCAGTCAAAGGGCAGTCTCGTTCGGGGAAGTTGACCAACTCGATCCCATTTATGCGGGTTCTACGGGGATTTTTTTGGCCGAGCTTATGGGCTCGGATAACCCACGTTAAATCTGGCCTTGTGCCTCATCTACCCTCTTGGGGGCGCTAGTAAATACTGACTAGCTGGGATCTGTTCCAGCTGTGCTAATCAAACTCTCTGCCTCCGAGCAGAGAGGATCCCCAGCTATGTCAAAAGGCAGAGTCTCGTCTTGGGAAACAGCTACCAGACCTTGTTTTATATGGGGTCGATGAGGAATTTTTCGCTTAGCCTACGGGCTCCGATACCTCACATTAAACTAGTAAATATACTAGCTGGGATCTGTTGAGTATGACTAACATGAGAACTATCGACCTTCCAATAGTAGCACTCACTACTGGATTGACTTGCGATGACCTTGTGCATAACTGTTACCTTTATTCTTATTGTACTGTTCTTTCATAATAAGCCTTTACTTATTTTATCCACCTTATTTTTCAAGTATATATTTCTGTTAGCATGGAATATAACATGCAGATAATAAATAGAAATATTTATGGTTTATTAACAAGTTATAAATAGATTTTTTATTTCAGTAAAGGTAGAAACCACTATAAATATTTATTTGTTAGTCTTCTCCTAAAAAATACATTTAATGCTAAAATACAATAAAAAATAAGGAATAGTTGTGGGTTTGCAGTCTGACAGCTTGAAGTCTCTTTGGCAAACTGCCCTGAAATTTTCTTAAGTAATCTTCAAATATGTTATAGCAGTTTTCACTGAAAAGTAATTCTTTTTTAAACCGTCTTTTTTTCTCCTTAGTCTACATGATTCTTTATTACACACTCAACACCAATCTATGACTGACAAAGTTTTTTAAAAAAATTTAAATAGGATTTCAAAGTATTAGTAATGATCATTACCATGCTGAAAAATAAAGTTGATTCTAAAAATGATTTTTTATACTAAGCTTCACCCAATGCTAGAGCCACTCAAGATAGAGCATTACTGTTAAAATGATTATGATGAATAAATGTGAGAATAGATTGTTGGAAGTGAAGATTATGAAGATAGATAATGATTGACCTTTGACATGAAGAGGTTAAGATTGTAGCTTTCAGGGAAGCATCAATGCAAGAGTCTGTTCTACAAGGTAGCATTTCTTGGGACTTTCTCCTGACAGTTTTGGAATTTGGAGGAATTGTGGATGATTTGACTCCTTAGAATTGACATGACATGTTTTAGCCGTAAAGGTCACCTGAACTGAAGTGAAAAACTGTAATAAAGAATTGAAGTGAAGAACTGAAGCAGAGAACTATAGTAAATGATTAAAGTGAAGAACTGAAATAAAGAACTGTAGTAAAGAATTAGAGTGAAGAACTGAAATAAAGAACTGTAGTAAAGAATTGAAGCAAAGAACTGTAGTGAAGAACGGAGCTCATCTAAAGATTTGCCATTGAAATAACAAGTAGTTCTTGGCTTGTGACATTGCAGATGTTTTGCAAGTGAATTTGCTTGATTATTGATAACCTCTTGCATTTTGTTGGCATTGCTCTCTTTCTATGTCCCTTCAGAAGATGAGTGATTATGGCTCTCCTCTTTTTTTTCTTTCTATCGCTCAACTGAAATGCCTTATGCCTTATGGTTTTCAG